TTGTCTGAGGATTATGCTGCACAATGCACATTCACATCTCTGATACAGATATAATTTCCTGGAGCATTATTTTTAAACTTTCTTATCACATATCTTCAACTTCAGCTGATGGTCAACAGAAATTCCCAGTTATTATTCTGTCCCCGTTATCATTAATTATCCCAATCTGTATTTCTGGAACTATTTCTCCTGGTGATGATGCCTTTGCTTTCGCAGTCATAGATAGCTTTATCATCCATTATCATGTCCTCTGCTGTCCAGTCAGCTTCATGGACCAGTGGCTGCTAACCATTCTTAGCTCAACCTCTGACCTATCTTTCTATTTTCCCATAACATCAGTGTTGACCAAATTCTCATTTGCTGTATAATAATCCCAGTTGAAAAACAATTTTGAATACTCAAAGATAAAAATATTTAAACTCCTTTAATGTTTTCTCATTTGAATCTGGATTCTGATTGTTTTGTTTCAGAGCTCCAGACTGTTGAAAGAGTGAGAAATACTCCCAAATCTACTTACAAAGGAAATCATTTCTTCTTCCATCCAAGGGGAATATTTTCTGTTTTCTTCTTCAACTTGTAAAGTGAAAAAAGAATTATTGTGGTCAATTGATGCGGCAATGCTTTTAAACACTGTGGGCCTTAAAATGAAAATTGTTACAGCCTTCATCTTCAACAGTAACTATAGTGGGCTAGAAAGGCTTTCATACTAAAACGTGCTTGGGACCAAAATTCCTTGGACCCCTTTTGACAACGTAAGCATGGGAATCCTGATTTGGCACAGGCCTTTCCTCAACTCTGGGTTGAGCCTGGGAGACTCAGTTGGTAAAGCATCAGACTAGGACCCCAAGATTCAAGTACCTGCTTAGGTTCTTTTCTGAGGAGTGGCATGGCGGTACAGTGGTTATCACTGCTGCCTCACAGTGTCAGGGGCCTGGGTTCGATTCCACCCTTGAACAACTGTGTGGAGTTTGCATGTTTTCCCTGTGTCTGTGTGGGTTTCCACCAGGTGCTCCAGTTTCTTCCCACAGTCCAAAGATGTGCAGATTAAGTGGATTGGCCATGCAAAATTGCCCCATAATGTCCAGGGATGTGCAGTCTAGGTGAATTAATGTGGGTTACAGGGATGGGGTTGGTCTGAGTGGGATGCTCTTCAGAGGGTTGGTGCAAACCCAATGGACAGAATAGGTCTCTTCCTGCACTGTAGGGATTCTATGATTCTCAGTCCATTGAAGGATCTGAACAGTAGGTGGCGTCAGCTCATTGTAATATTTCTGCCATCAGTGTGGGTACATCTGAGGTGCGTAGTTAGACGATGAAGAGGGAGCAAAGGAAGATGCTTCACATGTCCTCAAGTTTGGCAAGTTGGTATTACTGGTGGAAGTTTTTTTTAATTGGAAATGGTCCCTCTTGAAAAGTAGTAAGATTTCTATTCCACTAGGTTTAGTGCTAGCCTTCGATTTATTAGACAAGTTTAAAGCCTTGTTCCCTTCAGAAAGAAGGAACAATATAGAGAAAGCACGAGTGAAATCAACATGGAATGCAACAAAAGGAAAGTGAGAGTTTGAACAGCCAGTCCTTTGAAGTTTTTTTATCCTCACTTCATTGCCAAGGTAAAAAACAATTGGAGAGAATAAGCTTCTCAGTAAGAGGGTGGTAGAGGAGGAGAAAGAAAAACCACTCTGGGAGTTCCCAATGGTCAGTTAATGGTGTTATTGTTAGAAATCTTGAAAAAGATTTAGTTAAAACTAACCACAGCTTTTTGAGACTGTAGCAAGAGAAAAGAGTCTAACATGTGAGGATACTGAATTCTAAAGTGATTCACCAATCTTCATTAATACATGATGGACACACTGAAGAGTGATGTAGATGTCATAAACTACAGGTTATGACAGAGAGGAGACAGGCAGGTGGGTGTTGGAACATGGAGAAGCCAAGGTTTTAGGAAAACGTTAATGGATGTTTGCCACAAACAAAGCTCCATCAGATTGACAGTGTGTGCACTCTGTCCATTCATTAATGTAATAACAGCATTATCTGATGGTGTAATGATAAGAGTAATGAGTATTGGTCAGATTTCCAAAACAAATTTGATAAAGTACCACATGATGGACTGGGTAGCAAATTTACAACACACAAGATTAAAGTGGAAGTGACTGTGTGTATAAAACTGAATATGAAATTAGCTGAGTGCTAGAAAGTAGTGTTGAAAGTTTGTTTTCAGACTGGAGGAAGGTCAACAGTGGTATTACCGAGAGGTTAGTGCTCAGATCACTACTCTCTTCAATACATGCTAATGATTATAGCAAGCTCACTTCCAAAGTATGCAGATGACACAAAGCACAGCAATGCAGGGAACAGTGAGGAAGATATGACATACTTCAGAATGATAAATAAAAACAAAAGAACTGTGGATGCTGTAAACCAGGAAACAAAACAGAAGTTGCTGGAAAATCTCAGCAGGTCTGGCAACATCTGTGAAGGAAAAAACAGAGTTAACGTTTCGGGTCTGGTGGCCCTTCCTCAGAAGGGTTTTTTTCCTTCACAGATGCTGCCAGACCTGCTGAGCTTTTCTAGCAACTTCTGTTTACTTCAGAATGATGTTGCATAAGGTAACAGTTCTAAAAGAGTTGATGGTGAAGTTACATTAGCTCCACCTAATCTAATGATGTCTTTGGGTGGAGAATCAGGCAGTCATGGACAGGATCATGAAGGAGACAGATGCATCATCTCCAGCTTCTGATAGTTCTAATTATGCCTAAATAGTTGATGCTTTTGTACCTATTGCAACTATGCAATAAACTAAAAAGGTTATGTAAGACAAGTTTTTGTTAAGACTCTCCAGTGGTTTAATCCCCTACCACTGCAAATAAAACAGGCCTTTAGGCTCAGCATGCGAAGGATTGTTGGCAGTGAATTAGCCCAACCATAAGTCGACAGTGTTTGTTACCCGGAGCCGAATATGACATGACGATCAGTTGTGGGTATTGCTGTTGAAATTCCTTAAGGTAGTAAGAGTGGACAGAATTCACTTGACCCAGAAGAAATCCTTTTGAAAACAAGTGAGTTTATTATCTTAACCAAACAATTGGTCAGCAGCACTCATGGAATCATCACTAGGCCAAAAAGTGACATGGCGGAAACAAGCTGGTAAGAGCTGCAGGGAGCACAATGATGATTAGAAAAAGAGTTAAATGGAGCCATGCTGGGATGAGAGAGATCTTACATAAGGCAGCTCTGTGCAACAGTTGGGAGCTTCACAAGTAAGTTATGGTCCCTGAGCAGAAGGGAAAATCTTTTACAATAAAGGTGCAAAAGAACACAGTGAGAAGGAAAGAAAACAGGGAGTGCTTACCCTTTAAAACAATCAGCACTATAAATGCAACTAGGCTACATGAGACATAACTACAGTAGATGGAACAAGGGGTCTAAAATTTACACTGGCATTACAGCTTTTCAAAACTTGTGGAGATATTTAAGGGGACAAAAAAAATTAAAAGATTTGAACAAAGTCTAACCAAAGAAGAAAGTTACAAGAACTTTAGGACTTTTAGAAGATCAGTACACTCAAGATTTAACAATGATTTTGTCAGGAAGATTTATTAAGACCACAGCCAATGAACTTTAATAATTGTGCAAGGTGACAATGACATGAAAGTGGGGAAAAATTAATTCTGTCTGTGAAGTAGCAGGAAACCTCCATTATGTCTGCAGAAGGCAGATTAATCCTCCAGAAGGTAAGAAACCACAATTTTGATTGTTATCAATGAGGGCAAAACTTAGCAAGCTGCTATTTAGCAGAATTTGAAATGTGAAAGAAATAACTATAGTTTTGCTAGTTAACTGAATTTAAAGATTTATTGGAAGAATTTCATGCTACATTTTTGTGCAATAGCATTTAAAAGTAAGAGTACTGAGTTTAAACTTTTGGAGAGACTTTAAGATAATACACTGTTGCATTCAATAGCTCCAATAGCGAATGATGTTTTACAGCACCAAAATATAAAAGAAAACAGACATTTTTGATGAATTTTAAGAATCTTTGACAATTAGTTCAACCCAAAAAAAGCATGGACTGTCCGTGTTTAGAATTTCTCTGCAGCTGGTCAGAGGATATATTTTTTGGAGAAATCTGAAAGTTCTGAAGTCAGTAATAAGGGACCAGCCCCCAGCGGAGGAAGGATCACAATTAGCTCTCGCTTTCTGGAGCATGCAGTCAGAAAAGCCTTTGTTAAAGCCACAGTCTCTGAAATTGGTGGTGTTTAGGACTTAAAGTCAGGCCATTGGAAACCAGCTTCAATCAGTGAAATAGTTTCTTTTACAAAAGTGGAGTTTAAAGATCAGAGGGGCCTGAGGAAGATTATTGGTGAAGACAGAAAAATACTATTTGTATAGTATGGGAATCAGTTTGAGGTTGCCTGGTTTGGGTTGCCAATTTTCCAATCTGAATGAGTTATAGAAAGTAACAAGGAAGCTACAAGGATTGGGTGGTTGCAGTTGACAGTTTATATGATGAAGGGCAGATCAGTTTTTAATATCAAAATGAGGCTATCAGTCCCAAAGGGCAACCTTCAAATGTTCGTAATAAAGTTAAATATTTACCAGAAGGGGCTAGTTAATTATGAAATGTAATTATTATAAGTTTAGCAGGGAAGGTCACTGTAAGTTGGAACATGAAAATAATAAAATATAATAAGCATAATTTAAAAAACATAATAGAAAAATAGAAGCCAAGAGAATGCATTATAAGCTTAGGTAGTGGCTCTAGAAAGAGCTCACAAACAGTTGGACAGGAGATGAAACAGTGACAGCCCAGAGAGAGATGGAAGGCAAGATAAAGTGTATAGATTTACAAGGTCAAGAAACTTAACAGACAGGGAATGCCACCAGTAGCAGAACCCATTACAATCAGGAGGCTATGAACATCTTGGACACAAGTTATTAAAAGATGCCGAACAGGGAGAACTACAAAGTGGAGAAAATTGGGGTGCATGGAGAGATACCAGATAGGTGACCGTCAACACTATCCCTTTGGTAGATTTACACAGTAAAACTTTCTCCAGATGGAATTTTAAGGCAAAAGCAAGACCAGTGGCACAAGGTTTGAAGAAAAACTGAGGATAAAAGTTGCAACAGTACTTTTACTGGTGTCACAGAAAGGAATTTTGAAGATCTTCTTGACATTGTTAGCAACAAATATGCTGGAATGTAGAACAATTGACATTACAGTCATATATACATGGGTAGATCTACTTAAAAAAGAGGTTTCTCCTTGACCTCCAAAAGAGGTGCCAAATGCAGTGTCAACACTCTGGAAAGGAAATAAACATGTAAATGACCCAACTCATGCTTCTAGCCAATTGAACTTCTCAATAAGTTTCATCTTGTTAAATTGACCTGTCTCCGGTTAAATGCAGACCCTTCCATAGTTTACTGGCGCCAGGAAAGATAGGTTTCAGGCATCTTTATGATGCACGTAGATGAGCTTTTGAGGTGGCTGAGCAAAGAGTTTGAATACATTGTCATAAATAAACTTAAAAGAGGAATTCAAAATTTTAAGTCAAACTTTAAATGGATTGGAGTAAAAATCAGAAAGAATGGATCAAGTGTCACCTTGCATAAGAAATTTTATTTAGAAAAATTAGCCCCATTGCAGTTAGGCAAAGTATGGCTCCTGAAAAGGATGCAGCAGCTTCCAAAACTGAAATGAAGGTATTGCAATGTCCAGTTGGACAGTTGAATTGGTTGGGCACCAAGTGAGGCCATTTGCCAGTTTTGAGGTTTTAGAAATGAGTGCAACTATGAAAGATCTCAAAGTGAAACACATTATGTGAGTGAACAAAACGTTGAAAGAATTAGAAATGGGGCACTGCATTCAAAATTTTAATCCTTCGGAGATTCCAGGAACATGTAAGTTATTGGTTTTAATGATGTTTCTAATGCAAATTTTGGCCCTCAAGTGCTTGAGGGTTTATAATTTTTCTTTAGCAAGAAGGAGCTATTAAGATCACTAAGAAAACATATTTTAAAGTCTAAATGTACACTTAAACACCAGAATAATATATGTTGTCAATCTGCACAATAGGTTACCATGTTGTACTTTTTGTCTGGTTCATTTTTCATTACTATTGTACATCATAATTTATTTTTATAAAAAGTCAAAAAGGAATCTGTCGTCATTAATCAGGGTCTGGCATGGATTTGGAAACCAGTTAGAACAAGGGAGTAGGTGATTGATGGATGATAATTTCAGAATAAATGGACATTGTGTATAAACATACGGAACAAGTGATAATGGTATTGGGGTTTTGTGATGTATAACTTGAAATAAAACTCTGACTAGAAAAATATAGGCCTGGACTTTGTCTAAGTGATCTTTTAACCTCTAGATGAAATTAATTAATTTCAAATTTGGGATGAAAGGTGAAACTGGGGTCGTCCTACTTAGAACAAGGAAAGTTAATGGATGATTTAACTGTTCAAAATCATGGAGAGCTTTTATAATGTAAATGCGAAGAGACTGGAAATATCTGTACCCAAATGATACACTTTTCAGACAATTGGTCAAAAAAAAGCAGAGGTGGCCTGAGGAAATGCAATTTTACTGAGCAAGTTCTCATAGCCTGCAATGTAATATCTGAATGAGTGGTTAAAAAACGATTGGATAGTGACTGTCAAAAGGGACTTGGAAAATGCTTCAACAGAAAATATCTGCAAGGTGATGAAGAAAAAGAAGGGAAGTGAAACTAATTGCATAGCTCGCTCAAAGAGCCATCACAGGCATGATAGGATGAATGGCAGTCTTCTCTGTTGTGTCATTCTGCCTTTGAGGGTAGTTAATTGGCTGTAACACTCTTTAGGACAACTAAGGTCATGAAACAGGCTGTAAAAATGGACACTTTTATGGAGAAGGCACTGTAGTTGGTCAGTGTCACAAATGCAATTTACAAAGACATCATTTTCCAATTCTAAAGTGGATTATCATTAAATATCATGATTTACATATGACGGCTGAGGTCATTTGAGATTTAATCACCTTAGATTGACTGCAATAACTACAGATCATTTACCTCATTCATGGCATCATCAATCTGTTTCAGCTCTTCATAGCGATCTCTAGAATCTCGCAGAGGCTGTACCATAGCTTCTTCAATCTGTGGGAATAACTAACAACAAACATGGAATGATCAGTACAAATCACTTTACAGTACAGGACTTGGCAAGGTGGTCTTATATAATCAAACCTGATCAGACACAAATTTTATTTAATGTATTGCCCTAATGCATGCCAGCCAAACATTTAGGGTAGCAGGTTTTCAGCAGATATCTGTGTGAAAGATGTTTTTTCCTTTATTCATTAACAGGATGAGGGTGTCGCTGGCTAGGTAGCATTTATTGCCCATCCCCAAATTGCCCAGAGGGCAGTTCATACTCAACCACATTGCTGTGGGTCTGGAGTCACATGTAGGCCAGACCAGGCAAGGATAGCAGTTTCCTTCACCAACAACTGACAATTGATTCGTGGTCATCATTAGATTCTTAATTCCAGATATTTTATTGAATTCAAATTCTACCATCTGCCATGGTGGGATTCGAACCCGGGTCGCCAGAATGTTATCCAGGTCTCTGGATTAACAGTCCAGCGATAATGCCACTAGGCCATTGCCTCCCCTACATCTAGCATTCTCCATACATTAGGTATTCAGATATAGTAAGAAGCAGGATAAGACCTATTTTATACTGCCTCAAAAATATGTCTTCAACATAATATTAAAGGAGCTCTGCTTATTGTGTCGTTTTCCCTTCATGAGAAAAAGAATTGCACTTGTATAAAAATCAAATGAACTGCGGGTGCTGTAAATCAGAAACAAGAACAGAAATTGCTGGAAAAGCTCAGCAGTTCTGTCAGCATCTGTGGAGAGAAAGCAGGGTTAATGTTTCGGGTTGAGTGATCCTGCCTCAGAACTGATGGTAGCTAGGAAAATGTTGGTTTGTATGCAGAAGATGGAGTTGGGGGGAGGGATAAGGAATAAACAATAGGTGGGGATAGAGCCCAAAGAGAGAGAACCGTTGGACAGACAAAGGAGTAGATAACTGTATGGTTAGGAGGGCGAATAGCTATTAATGGGGATTGTTAGTGGCGAGTTGTGTGTAATAGCAGACTATGTGACAACAAGCATTCTGAGGAAGGGTTACTCTCATTTCTCTCTACAGATACTGCCAGACCTGTCGAGCTTTTCCAGCAAATTCTATGTGACAACAAGGTCTGGTGTGTGGGGGTTGGGGTCAGGACATTGGAGAGCTCAGTTATTGAACTTTAATTGAGTCCAGAAAGCTGCAGGGTCCCCAAGCAGAAAATGAGATGTTGTTCTTCCAGCTTGCACTGATCTTTGCTGGAACACTGCAGCAGGCCTGAGACAGAGATACTGGCCAAGGAACAGGATGGTGTGTTGAATTGGCTGGCAACTGGAAGCTCAGGGTCTTTTCTGCAGACAGAACGTAGGTGTTCTGTGAAGTAGTCACCCAGTCTAAGTTTCATTTCCCCAATGTATAAGTGACAACATTGTGAGCAGCGAATGCAGTAGACTAGATTGTGTGAAGTGCAGGTAAAGCGATGATTCACCTAGAAGGTGTGCTTGGGCCTTAGGATACTTGTATAGGACTTTTCTTGAACTTGAGATCTTTCAACATGCTTGCGTCTATATAATTGCCCTTATAACACTCTTTACATCCTATCTTCTTAACCAAGCCTTTGGACATTTTCCCAAATATCACATTATATAGTCTAAAGTCTAATTTTGCTTTCTAGTGCTCCTTTGGGCTTTCAGTGATGTTAAAGATGCTCAAACAGATATAAAGGTTGTCATGGAATAATTAAACTGTGGAATAATTAAACTAGACCCTTGTCTAGGCCCGAAGCGTCAGCCTTCCTGCTCCTATGATGCTGCTTGGCCTGCTGTGTTCATCCAGCTCTGCACCTTGTTGTCTCGGATGCACATATGGCTTTGGTTCAACTGAAAGTATCTGGACAATGCGGCTATCCCTCAGTCCTACACTAAAATCAGTTCAGATTCTGTACCCAGATGTCTGGAATGAGCCTTGAACTGTTCTGATTGAAAGCTGAATAGGATTATTGAACTAATGCTGACACCTTTGGTGCCTCTGATTGATATTGCCAACCTCATGTCAAATTAATTTTGCACAATGCATCCCCAATCATCTCAATTTAGATTACAGTTCCATAGACTCTTTCACCAAAACCTATTTGAAATCATCACTCATTCTGAGACCAAGATGGAACTTGGACTGTTTCTAATTACAAGGAATTTTTGGTAGGCATGGACCAACATGTAAAACTAACACTAATAAATTGGGAACCTTACTCAGGGAGAAACCATGGAATAGATCATAGGAAAAGTGTACAAATGTCAAAGTGGTACAGCTCTACCTCTCCCAGAACTATTTACTAATGAATAGGAAAAATAAGTGGTTATTCAGTTCCCAGCCCTAAAGGGTTCCACCTTCTCCAGATGAAAGGATATCTAACAGGCAATTATTACAACTAATTATTAGAAGCAAGCATTACATTCTTGGGCACAGTGCTGACATTAAGCTATTAGGATGCAGTTGAGGTGTATGTCTCTGAATAATGTGTCATGTTTAATGTGATCCCGGAGTAAGATAGAGTATAAGACCTTTATATCCTTAACACATGTTGATGTAGTGATCATATTGTGAACATGTGTCTTAAAGGTATACTGACATACTGACCATGAGACTCAACACTCACCTCCTTTCACTGATTGAGGGTTAAACCTGCTGGGCTGCATGTTGAGCAGGATGAAAAGAGTGAATGTAAAAATCTTTAAACATAAAAGCAAAGAAAGGAGCAGAAGGTGACCATATCACCTCTTGAGACCACTCTGCCAGCCAGACCATGACTGATCTTCGATCATTGTTTCAGTTTGATGCCTGAACATCTCATCCTATACAAAAGCAAAACTCCGTAGAGGCTGGAAATCATAAATAAAAACAGCAAATGTTGCAAATGCTCAGCAATTCTGGCAGTGTCTGTGGTGTGATAAACATGGTTAATTTTTCAGGGCTCTGATGAAAAATAACAGAGCTGAAATATTAACTTTGCTTGTCTCAGTACAGACGTCAGCAGACCCATGGATTATATTCAGCATTTTCTGCAGTGAGTCCATAGCCCCTGTGTCTCTCTCAGTCTTGAAAATACTCATTAGTTGACTATTCAATCTCAAGTGTAGAAAATTGCAAAGACTAACAAGAAATTCCAGCTTTCCTTATTGTGACTCTATACCCCAGTATAAACACCAAGGACTGAATGATCCCCTTCTGCACTGGAACAATTCTGTGATTCAATTCCAAAGTTCTAAACTCTCCAGCTGGGGCAACAACTTCTCAACATTTAACCCCACAAACTCCTCTGAATCTTGCATGTCCCAACTATGTCAGTTCTACCGCTTATAAAATCTGACAAGTACACACACATTCTTTTAGTAGGACAACCCTTTCATAGAGACATAGAAACATAGAAAATACATGCAGGATTAGGCCATTCAGCCTTTCGAGCCTGCACCGCCATTCAATATGCTCATGCGATTTCAGTATCCCACTCCCGGTTTCTCTCCAGACCCCTTGATCCCTTTGGCTGCAAGGGCCACCTCCAGGTCCTTCTTGAATATATCTAATGAACTGGCCCCCAACTGCTCTCTGTGGTAGACAGTTCCACAGGCTCACAACTCTCCAAGTGAGTAAATTTTTTCTCATCTCAGTCCTGAATGCCTTACCCCTTATTCTTAGACTGTGAGCCCTAGTTCTGGACTTTCCCAGCATCTGGAACATTCTTCCCACATCTCGCCTGTCCAGTCCCATCAGGACTTTATATGTTTCTATGAGATCCCCAGTTTTCATCTCAGGAATAAATGCAGTGAACCTTTGCTGCACCCCCAGAAGGCAAGTGTACCCTACCTTAAGTAAAGGGACACAAACTCTGCACTGCAATCTGGGGTGTGATTCCATTAAAGCCCTGTACAATTATAGCAAGACCTTCCTAATGTTGTATTACAGCCTCTTTGTCATAATGTCCAGTATATTATTTGCCTTTGGAATTAATTATCTGTTGTACTTGTGTTAAATAAAGAATGGGCTCTCTGATGATTCCAAGATTGAAAGACTAATTGCATTAATTCTTCACTTACTTTCATCAGTGTTTCAAATGTTGGTATGAGGACAAACTTGATGAATCCAATCTGGGCTGTGGGCTTTGTAACCTTATCGCGATCCATGAATGGAGCTACTGGGAGACCTTCAGATTTCTCCCTGTCACTCTGCAATTAAATACAGGTAAATTATATCAAAGATATAGAAAGCACAAATGTTATACACATTCTTTGCAAAGAGGGAATGAACCTTGAGTCTATACCTGAATCTGACCTGAGCTTCAATCCTAAAACTTACTAAATTCTAATCCAATGTGATCTGTCAACCATATCAAATCAAACTTATATTCGAATCTTGATCTGACAAAAGACTTAAATTTAATTAAAGAATTAAATTTAAACCTGAGGGTCTAATCAAATTCAGCAAAGTTTGTGTTCTCACGTTGACTTCATTTCGGTTTCAGAATCAATTTTAAACTTGAAGTGAGGTCAAAACATAAACTTCACCCTGAAAGCAAATCACACTCAATCCAAGTGGATAAACCAATCCAAAAGGCTTTGGTCAGTGTAAGGAGGTGAGGTGGCAGCAAGGGTTCCAATGAGGAGCAACAAGAATGTTATCAAACACTAGACTGGAATTTTAATGCACTGAACTCCCACACATTTGGTAAAAAAGGTGCCCTCCACAGTAGCTGCTACACTCCCGTACGGATCTAACAGCCATCAGGCTGTTTGTTTAAGGCAAGGTTTCTTACTCCATCTGGGAAGGAGGTCCCATCTCTGAGAGCTCCAGCCAACAAATGATTGGCAGCTCTCTGCCCTAAGCAATGCCATGGGGGTGTGGTATATCCAGTGACCAACAAAGAGCAGGATATCGGTGTGAGTAGGGTGAAGAAAGTTCTTGCTCGCACTAATTCTGGGTACATGGATTGGGCAGATAGGGAGCCAGAGGATTTAGAGAAGACCTTAGTCCTCTGATGAACTCAGGGGTAATTAAGGAGACAACTCCACTCCTGTGACCCACCACCAACCACTACAGTAACAGCTGTTAAGCAGATGCTCCGTGTGAGCCTCTCCCACAGCTGGTAGAATTCCAGCAGTTAGTAAGCAGGCATGGTACCCATGGAATTTTATAGGTTGCCCACTCCCCCAACCACTGACTCACCACTAGATGGGGCAGGGCCCATAAAATCCAGCTCAATGGAGTTATAACACATATAAAATTCATCATATCAAATGGATAGTATAGGTTTTGAAAGGGTGTGGATTTGGAGTGAAATGAATTAGAACTGAGGAGGTTCACGTGAAGCATAAACATCAATAGACCAGTTGTGTCTGTTCCTAAGCTGTTCCTTTAATATAATTCAGCATAAAATGAAGAAAGTAGATTGGATGCAGTCATCCAATATAAGAGAATCAGAGGGCACAAATACATCCCAATGGAGGTTGCTGAATGTAACTTACAAAGTAGTCATTTCACACCAATTTATGGAACATTGGCTTGACTGAAGTGTTAGAAATAGGTTTCTGATTTAACACATCGTAGAGAGACTTGAGCTTGTTGTCAAAGAACTGGTGAATTGATTCAGTCAATACGCTAAGACCAGAGGTCATGGATTTCACAACAGTTTAGAAACAGACTTTTAGATGAAACTTTTTTTTAAAGCATGTAAAGTGTTCAGAACAAAATGATGTATTAAAAGCAAAAATATTATGGGAGTTCAAAGGAAGTGGGATGCCATGATTGGACAGATAGGTATGAGAGTGGTAAGGGTTAATGGGATGAGCTGTCCTAAGATGGTGTCGGTGGGGTTTCTTCCTTGAATCATGGCAGTCTTTGTGGTGTCCTGGTGCTCCTGTGATAGTGTAATGGAAGGAATTGCAGGATTTTCACCCAATCAATTGTTAGCTAAGCATGCTCCCACTCTACTGTCAACTCATTGTAGAGAACAAGAGGTCTCACGATCTACAGTTTGCGTCCATTACTTTACAATGTGCCTTTCACCTGTGTAAAGTATTCTTCAAGCAAGCAGTCAACCCAAGGGTCTGCCACCTCTGTTGGCCGCACTTCATTGGAAATATCACAGCACTTGATGAGAAGCATTTTCAGCTTGAAAAAGGAAGAAATAGTAAGTTTATACATTGCTGCTTTGTCACTACTGGAAATTATTAACCCTCAACAGTCTTTCCCATCTGTCAGTATTGAACATTCTAATCTCTGCTTGGACCTAGCCAGCATCAGAGGCGCAGAATTTTTAAAATCAGTAGGGTCACCTTTTCCTGTCAAAAAAAGGCCCAGATATCACAAACATATCACCAGGATCCAATTGCAACTTACTTCTGCTGCTCAAACACCAAGCAATGGTTATCCTGGAGTGCAAATTCCCTCCTCCAGCCCCAATATCATAAATTCCAACATCAGAAAGGGAGCAAGGTCCACTCCAAACAGGCTCCAACAGAAATTAGTCATCAGTATATTTCCAGTCCCATCAATTTTTTCATCCAATCTACAGCATGTCTGGCTGACTGACACTTGCACTATGCAGAGGGATCTGTGGACATTTGTAGCCAGTACCTCTTAATTTGAATTTTGAAATAGCCATTGTTAATCTGAAGCTTGTTTGTTTTACTTACACTGATCTTATGTTCTTCATTCAAGAAGTCAAAGGTAGCAACTTTTGGTTTGAATGAGTCCAATATCTCTCCATGTCGAGCCATGTCTGTTGCCAAGATAAGTGTAATAATGCCCTTTAGGAAAGGTGGGAAAATAAACAGAGAGCGTTAGAAAACAAGAGACCAGTCTTGTTCAACAGCCATCATAAAATCTTAAAGTTGCAGTAGGTATGTCATGATGAAAGAATGAGCATGAATATTGGAAATATAAATTTAACGTTCCACCCTTCTAGCCTCTTGTGCCTTGAATTAGATCATATTTAACCTGAGCCTCAACTCAATCTGCACGCCTCACAACCATATCCCTCAGTACCTTCCTACCAAAATCTATCTCAAAGTTGACAACTCCAATTGACACAGCTTTGTAGGAATGAGTTCCACATTTCCACTCCTCCTGTGTGTACAAATATTCTTTCTGAATTCACTTCTAGATGGTCTGATTCTAACAGCAGCTCTTGAAGTCTAGCTTGGTTTGGTTTTCTATGAGTGTGCAAATCAAACCTTACCTCAGATCAAGTTGATTTTGCTCATCCTACTTGGAACTCTGGGCTCGGAGTCAGAATGTCATAATTCCAACTGGGTGAAATGCTGAAAGAATGCTATGCTGTTGTGCTGCTGGCTTATGCATGAAATGTTAAATTGAGGTACAGTCTGGCTGTTTACGTTAATATACATATTACTTTTTCAGAGTAGAACAGAGAGTTCTTCAAAACTTGGCTGACATTCATGCCTTATTTAAAAAAAAATTCATCTTGGTGTTGCGTATTGTCAAATTATCTGGCACACTCATTTATAAAATAATAATGATTACACTTTGAGAGTAAGTGATTGGCTGTAAACTACTTGGAGCCATTCTAAATTTATCCAACTTAATATAAGGCTCATGTCTTTTGGTTCAAATTGATCTGAAGCATGACAGCAAGGTGTGTTTCAATGCATTGATAAAGATTAGGATGCGACATTGTACCAGACAATGTGGACAGAATGGGATAGCATTTTGTACTAGGCAGCATTATCAACAACAGGATAACTCACCATGCAGTACAAGTATGACCTAGAACTAAACATTACATTAATTAGCATCACAGTTATCTGGAACACAATAGCATCATGTATTAATCAGGTCAATATACTGTATCACACAGCATTTCAGACAAAACAATATTTACCCAATACATCATGTATCCAATTTCTTTTTAAAGTTGACTTGCCATTTTAAAAGGCCAACAATCAGGGTATAGTAAATAAGCCTGTTTGAAAATTGTAAATAAATACAAGATAACCCAAACCAGACTTGGGTTTGAAGACTGGAGTATCCCAGTGAACTAGAGCATATGTGTCAATTAACACAGTGTCATACACAAAACAGGTATCAGGAACAGTACACTAACTTCATATAACAGACAATGATGAATTAAAGTAACCAGACAGCAATTAAATAATGAAATGGTCAGGAAGTGAATTCCAGATGTGAGGAAAGATATTGAATGAAACTGGGTAAGATAATGTAAAGAAAAATAATGGAAATGTACAATTGGTTAGAAGGGCTTGCAAGAAATGAACATATCTCTTGCTCTCAGCTGCTGATGGGACTGTTGTAATTTTCCAGCACATCTCTAAACGCAATGAATACTGACCTGTCTGATCTGTTTGAAGACTTCTGGGTCCACATTAGCGAAGATGTTGCATTCCGGCTGCGAGAGGATCTGGAAGGCGACAGCACAGTGATGGTTCTCCAGGGGAGAAATGTCATTGTAGCGAACAGCAAGCTCAGTGCGGGCATTGATCTGGTACCTAAACATTTGTAAAAGACACTCTTTGTTATGGCTTCATTATTTGTTTGTAGGAAACATCTTAATATGATCTAAACAATCTTTAGTTTCTGAGCTAACTTTTAAAATGCATCAGTACTTTTGGTTTAAAACCCCACATAGATTCACATCAGGGAATAATTTCAATCTAGATTCCTGTACAAAACAGTGTTCCAACCATACAATGCTTCTGTGTAATATAGAGCACAGTTGATGTAGCTACCATGTAGATCTGAAGAGAAAATTCAAGACTGCAGAGTAGCAAGTTGGGCAAAATCAGGCGGATTATATCTGTGGGGACAATGAGATTAACAAGTGTAAGAGGACATTAGCAATGAAGATCACAAGGCGGGGAAATAGCAGAATGTAAAAGTTAAAGAAAAGTATTGTTAATATATGAATACAACATTTGTAACAGGTGATTTAATGGCACAAAAAAAGAGATAAATGGGTTTGATCTTATGGCATCGTTAGCTGTGATTGCAGGGTGATCAAAATTAAAAACTAAGTAAGCCAGGATCAAACACAGCATGCTAGAGACATCCAGCAGGCCTAACAGCATCAGTGGAGAGAGAAACAGAGTTAATGTTTCACATCTGATATGACTCTTTTTCAGAACTGAATTCTGACATTTGACAACTCATCCTGATCTGCTGAGGATAGATCCATCTGGAGAAGTTTGTGTGGTTTTCAGTTGCATTTATTGACAGTTTGGTTATCATATTGCTGGTTGATGTCACTCAAAATTACCACACAATTATTGTTGGAGTGTTCTTCCTCTTCCAATTATTTGGATTTGGATTCCTAGCTTGCACTCTGTTTTGTTTTGGTAGTCCTGTACTTGCTCACTCATCTGATATCTCATTCATTCTCCTTGTGTCTTTGATGAAGAATGACCTTGTCTCGGAGAAAATCTTCAACTTTGGAATCAAGAGCAGCAACATGTAGATCCAGAGGAACATGTTGGTCTTTGTGTGGGTTGGATAATCTTTTCAGTGTTTGAGAACATAATCACTGGCTTCTATCTTACTTCAAAGTCATTACATTGCAGTTTGACATTCAATTCCCCCCCACAACAGAACATAACATTCTATTAGCTTCTTTGGCAATTCCCTTTGTAACATTTTTTTCAGTACACAGTCTGCATAACATATTATTCAGGTTGTATGGGTTTATTAATATTATCAAGTAAATTCTAGACAATATATTACCATCCATGTGGCACATTGATAGTTAACAATTGTCATCTCACAATCATACTCACGCATTGTTATATCCAGGGTGATCGAGATCATGGCATATCGCTCCCGTCATTAATATCACCAAATCTGTCAGACTCAGTCTCTCCTGTTCACATGCAATGAAAACAAGGATGATGTAATTGATAGCTGGTATAGAACATTTAGAAGGTCATGGGATTTGAACATCTCTAACAGGGTCAGCATTTGTTGACCATCCCTTATTGATGTTGAATGAATGGTTTCCTTGGCAGTTTAGAGTCAGCCACATTGCTATGGGTCTGCAGTCACATGCAGACCAGATCAGGTGAGGATGGCAGATTTACTTCCCTAAAGGCCATTAATGAATCAGATGGGCTTTACAAGACTTGACAGTGGTTATAGGGTCACCACCAGGCTAAATTTTTCATAAAATTCCACACAAATTTCATCACCTGCTGTGGTGGGATTTGAACACCCATGACCAGCTGGGTCACAAGGCAAGTGCCATTAGCACTACACTGTAGCCTCCCCTTGCTCCCTGGGAGGCTGGACTCAGTTACAGCCCTGTTTCAGGGACTGAATGTTTCTTGTCTCTCTGTCTCATTTAAGGCATTGACCATAAACTAGCATCACTAATGTAAAGGAACATGTATACTGTTGGTCATGTGAACCATTCAGAACACGTAACATTGGATACATGAACCATTACACATACCTCCATTGGGTATATGCAGCATTCACAGCCACTGAAAAGCTATACTTGTGACCAGTCTCAGACATCTGTGAAATTGCAAATGATCCACGTACTTCAACAAAGCTAGCCAAGGGGGACAGGCTAAAGGCTGCTCATGGCTCATACAAAATGCCTGTTTGCATGATTTATTTCTGACACATTATGAAAGTAGATGAATTAAAAGAAATGTCACCCACTGCTGGCTTGTTTTGATCACTAAATAACTCGGATCCCTGACCAGAATGATACAGCAACAAGACTTGTGGTTTGAAGGGGCCAACGAATTATACACAGCTATATGCTGATGTTTAGCACCTATGCTACATCTGGAAAACCACCTCATAAGGAATAGCTCTGACTTCACGTACCACCTTGTTTACAAAAGAAGGATTTAGAGGGATATGGGCCAAATGCTGGTAAATGGGACGAGATTAATTTAGGATATCTGGTTGGCATGGACGAGTTGGACTGACGGGTCTGTTTCCATGCTGTATAGCTCTATGACTTTATAAGTATATAAGATGGGAAGTCATATTACCACTGTACAGGATGTTGGTTAAGCCACCTTTAGAACATTGCATTCAGTTCTGGTCTCCCTGCTGTAGGAACGACGTTGTTAAACCTGAAAGGGGTAAGAAAAGATTTACGAGGATGTTACCAGGGTTGGAGGGTTTGAGCTGTAGAGAGAGGCTGATTAAGCTGGGGCTATTTTCCTGGGAATGTTGGAGGCTGAGGGGTGACCCTTTTGAGGTTTATAAAATCATGAAGGGCTTGGATAGGGTGAATAGCCAAGGTCTTTTTCCCAGGATCGGGGAGTCCAAAACTAGAGGGCATAGGTTTAAGTTGAGAGGAGAAAGATTTAAAAGGGACCTGAGGGGCAATTTTTTCACGCAGAGGGTGGTGCGTGTATGGAATGAGCTGCCAGAGGAAGTGATGGAAGCAGGTACAATTACAACATTTAAAAGGCATCTGGATGGGTATATGAATATGAAGGGTTTAGAGGGATAAACCCTCCAGTCTCAGCAGCATCCTTGTAAATCTTTTCTGCACACTCTCAGGTTTAACAACATCCTTCCTATAGAAGGGCGACGAGAATTGTATGCAGTACTGCTAAAGTGGCCTCACCAATGTCCTGTACAGCTGCGACATGACATCCCAACTCCTACAGTCAATGCACTGACCAATAAAGGCAAGTATGCCAAATACCTTCTTCACCACACTGTCTATGTGCTATTCCACTTCCAATGATCTATGCACCTACATAGTTCTGCTTTCTTACCATTTTTTTGGATAAGAAAAGTTTCTTCTAAAGAATGTCCCAATATGCTTAATTAATTTAACCTGCATTTTACTCAACCATGCCCACTACATCATTTGAACCTGCTGATGGGAATGAGGGTGGCAGCTCATGGAGTTAGGTTTAAAACTCTCTGTTACAACAAATGCAAATCTATACAAAGGGTCTGTATTCACCAAACTTAGACTTCATTCCTGAACTAGGAAAGAAGTGACAATAGTGTTTGACCTAGAATTCCAGTCTCTACTCACCTGTAAATTGCACAGATGGATCATACCATACATCATCTGTGTCACACAGAAACAGTGCCGGAAGTTGTGGAAGGGATTGTTCCGATAGTTCTCCTGAATGCTGAGCTGCATACAAAATATAAAAGAAGTCCAATGATTACAAATGAGAACAAGGGGTATGTTGTTAAATTCCTCTCCTCTAACCCTTGATCCTACACAGGAGATTTGGCTTGACAGGCACTCATCCTCTGGCAGCCTTACCAAGTCATCACCCTATAAGTCTAAATCTGGACTATCAACAAGGAGTCTATGGGTGAGGCAGGCAAGGAGAAAAATGGATGAAGAATGGTCAGACAGAGGCAGACCATGGCCAACAAGCCTCAAAAATAAAGAGAAAGTGATGCACAGCTACATACTGATAACACAAAGTACGTTCTGGAAGAAATGTGACCCAAAAGAAGATACAGAGACAAAGAGATGAAGACACAAAGAACCAAACACTGGAAAGAGAAAGCTCAATTGGAAACACAAGGACAAGTCACCTGGCTTATCTGTCAGGAGCATCTGTGTGTAATAGGTTCTCATGTTTGTCTGTCACACAGTGAAACGTTCTTCTAATCGTCAACATCTGTCATTTGCTTCAATTATATAAGTAAATGACCAGCATGAATGATTAATATACTCTGGGATTATTACCAAATAGTCAATACAGAGGTGGTGATTTCCCTCTGTGGCTTGAGCTTTAAGTCTGGAAAAGTTAATTTCCTTGACAGATTAAACAGTAAATGTAAGGCCCAGTGTGCTTCTGAGCCAAATTCTTCATCAGGTTTGACAGGAAGGACATACTGACTGGCTAACAGTAACTGGGATCTCCATGTAAAGCAACAAGAAATTCAGGAATGCACCAGACATGCAAAAATACAGTTTAACATCTCAAAAGCAAAAGACACCTCTTCTGACAGCCCACTGGATAAAACGGTAATAAAAGACAGCCATACTTGGGAATGAACATACTTGTCATTACTGGAGCCCCATTTTGAAGTATACAAGATGAATTGGGCCAGTTTGTCTTATTCATCAGTTTGAAAGGATTTTCCTTCTGGGTAATTCAGTACCTCGGTATCTGCCTAGATGGCAGTTTGTAAGTGCTAGATTAGGCCTAGAACTCAAAGTGACTGAATCGTAGAATCCCTACAATATGGAAGCAGGCCATTCTGCCCATCAAATCCACACTGACCCTCCGAACAGCATCCCATCCAGACCCACCCACGTACCCTGTCCCTGTAACCCTGCATTTCCCATGGCTAACACACCTAATCTGCACATCCTTGGATACTATGGACAATCCACCCTAACCTGCACATCTTTGAACTGTGGGATTAAACCGGAGCACCTGGTGGAAACCCACACAGACACGGGGAGAATGCGCAAACTCCACACAGACAATCACCGAAGGCTAGAATCGAACCTGGACACCTGGCGCTCTGAGGCAGCAATGCTAACAAGAACTGCTAAGCCTACTCAGAGGCAAGACCATTCTTGATAAGTACATCTAACACCTGAAGGAGAAATACTGCAATCAAATCAATCAGTTCTGTCTCCCTAAGGTTTGGTACTCATTTGTAGCAAAATCTGAGAGTATGGTCAATTCAGATCTTTTATCTAAAGAGGATGGTTCTTTAAAAGTGGGATTGTTAAGATACTTGTCAGACTCTTCCACATCCATGCTTATTATAATTGGCATAAGAACCAGGGAGTGGGTAGTAATGGTTGAGGAATAATGATATAGATTGAGTATGAGGTTGATTGGTAAGTTCGCAGATGTTACAAAAATTGGTAAGTGGTAAATAATGAGGGGATAGTCTTAGACTGCAAGTTCATAAAGAAGGGCTGATCAGTAACAAATGGAATTAAACCAGATAAATATGAGGTGATGCACTTGAGCAGGACAAACAAGGCAAGGGAATACATGATGAACAGTAGGACCCTGGGAAACACTGAGGATCAGACGTACTTTGGTGTGCAAGTACTTTGGTCACTTTAGGTGACAGGACAGGCAGATAAAGTGGTTAAGAAGGCATATGTATACATGCCTTTATGAGTCAAGAGGCATAGAGTTTAAAAGAAGAGGAATTATGCTGGTACTGCATAAAAGGTTGGTTAGACCACAGCTAGAATATAATGTGCAGTTCTAGAATCTACATTATAGGAAGGATGTGACAGCACTGGAGAAGGTGCAGTGGGAATTTACCAGGATGTTGCCTGGGCTGGAGAGTTCGACTGAGATTGTTTGCTTGGAGCAGAGGGGAGTGCAAAGGGGATGTGACTGAGATGTATAAAATGAATAAGGGCACATAGTGTAGACAGGAAGAACTGTTTTCCCCTTGATGGAGGGATGAGCGTCTGGGGTCATAGATTTAAGGTAAATTGTAGAAGGTTTAGAGGTGATCAGTGGTTTTCATCCAGAGGGTGGCAGGAATCTGACACTCACTGCGTGTAAGGGTGGTAGAGGCAGAACCACTCACAATATTTAAGAAGTATACAAGGCTATGTGCCAAGCACTTGTAAATGCAATTAGAATAGTGAGATGATTGTTTTTGACTGGTGTGGACGGGATAGGCCAAAGGGCCTTTGTCTGTGCTGTAGATCTCTTGCTCGAAATTCTTCTGTGCAGTGAGTTCAGCAAGTCAGTGATGTGATGGTAATATCGCTGGTGGAATTTAAAAATTCAATGAATAGGCTCTGTAATTAATGCAATTAAACTGCCATTGACTGTTATAAAGCGATCTATGGGGAGGCGATGGCCTAATGGTATTATCAGTAGACTGTTAATCCACAGAACCAGGTAATGTCCAAGGACCTAGGTTCGAATACTTTGGAAGTCGATGGTGGAATTAGAATTCATTAAAACAAACTCTGAGATTAAGAGTCTAATAATGACTGCTGTCAATTGTTGGGAAAAACCCATTTAGTCGAGACCTTCAAGTTCCTCAGAGTAAATATCACCAACGATCTGTCCTGGTCCATCCATATCAACGCTACAATCAAGAAAGCACACCGATGCCTCAACTTCGTCAGAAGGTTAAGGAAATTCAGCATGTCCACAGTGATTCTTAAAAATTTTTATATGTGCACCATAGAAAGCTTCCTATCCAGATGAATCACAACTTGAAATGGCAATTGCTCTGCCCAACACTGCCAGAAGTTACAGAGAGTCGTGAATGCACATCAGCCTTCCTTCCATTGACTCGGTCTACACTTCCCACTGCCTCGGGAAAGCAGTCAACATAATCAAATACCCCTCCCACCCTGGTTACACTCTCTTCCACACTCTTCCTTCAGGCAGAAGTTTGAAAACATGTACCAACAGATTTGAGAACAACTTCTTCCCTGCTGTTGTAAGACTAATGAATGGACCTCTCATATATTAGAGTTAATTTTTCTCTACACCTTCTTTGTAGCACTCTATTCCGCATTCTGTTCTATTACCCTGATGTATTAATGTAAGGTATGATTTTTCTGGTTAGCATGCAAAACAATACTTTTCACTGTATCTTGGTACATGTGATAATAATGAATCAAATTAAATGCCCTTTAGGGAAGGAAACTGTTGTCCTTACCTGTTCTGCAGTTTTATCCCACTCGATAAATGCCCACATCCCATCAATAAATAAAAATAAACAAGCCTGCATGTTAATTCATGTCGACAGCAAAAGATAGTTGTCCCTTAACTATCCACTCATTTCTAGGGCAGTTAGGGACAGACAATAAATGCTGGCTGTGCCTGTAGCATTCTCATCGCATGAAAGAATAAAGAAAAAGGAAATTTGCAGGGGCTATGGTGAAGAGAGGTGAGATTAATTGGATACTTCTTTCAAAGAAGATCATAGACTTAATGGCCTCTTAATGAGTTGTATCATTTTAAAAAAAAGTCCTATTTAAAATAGGCTATTGAGGATGACAAAATATAATCTATGTAGAAGCTTTTTTTAAATGAACTTATTCAGTGATATTATGATACACCTCTGGAACAGGTGGGTGTTGAATCTGGGCCTTCTGGTCCAGAGATAGAGACATTACCACTGCACCAGAACAGCCCCATAGGATCGTTGTTCTTCATTCTCACACAGTTATAGCAGAGTTAATGCTAATCAGTGATGTGCTCATGTATGGGGCCTTTTTAGACAATGCATATTAGAGCCAATTTACATGTAGGCTCAAAATCAAATAGGCATTCTGCAAGACAAAAACCAACAATGCTGGTTCGGGATTTTGCAATCTAACTGTTAACCTCTGTGAGTTAACCATCCAACAGCCTAAACAGATAATTTTATTTTTTGGATCATCAGAAAGAAGGACACTCACGTTGATGGGCAGATTTGGTCCAATGTTTCTAAACTACATTAAGCAAACTGTTCCATCCCTTGGCATTGCTTAGCATTCAGTTACACAGTAATCTCCTCAAAGTGTGTTATAAATCTCCTTCTCAGTTGAATCGATACAGATGTCAATTCGTTCCAGCAACTCAAACACATCATTACGATTTCTTCTCATTTCATGAAGTTCCCCTTATAACTAACAGAACACCTTGCATTAGTCATGGGTTGATTACAGAACTAAAAGGCCAATGCATTGCCCAGTTTCCTGCTGGGCACATTATGAATATCTGCGAACCTCCTATCAGCTTATTCCAGGAATAATGGATGGAGTTTGAGCCATGTAGACTGGCATGGATCTTTGTTCCAACCTTTTGATCCTGTCAGCGCAGGTGGGTACTGTAACTATATTAAGACAGACAGGAGGCTGGAAGAACACAGCAAGCCAGGCAGCATGTGGGGAAAAATAAAATTACCTGTTTAAGCTGTTGGATGGTTAACTCACGGAGGTTCATCTAACTATAATCTCTGTTTACATCTTTTCATCGATGCAGGGCAATGTCTGCATTGTCTATGCAACTCTTAGCTATTGGGGATGGGGAGACTTCTGCTTTTTGAAAAGTCTTTGGCATACACTCCATTTTGAGCTGTGATATTTGCCTCAAGAGCAGCAAACTTACCAGCCAGCGTTTCAGTGTGATGGGGTTCATATTAAACTCTTGCACCAGTCCCAGATCATGGTACATGTACTCCAGACAGCTGAGCATCTGCCAGTGAGGAGATATCAGTTACTCCATTCTTGAATATGTTGTGTGCTAAATAAATCTGCATTAAGAGTCTGATTTTTCAGCAGAGATGTTCACCAACTTAAAGTCAAAACTCCTGACAAAGGCATCTCACACAAACATGCTTGCACTCAACCTCCAAAAGAACATAGAACATGGAAACAGACCCTTCAGTCTAACTCGTCCACGCCGACCATAACCCCAAACTAAACTGGTCCCACCTGCCTGCTCCTGGTCCATATCCCTCAAAACCTTTCCTATTCTTATTGTACTTACCTAAATGTCTTTTAAACATTGCAACTGTGCCTACATCCACCAATTCCCCAGGAAGTTCATTCCACATGTAAAATTACCCCCATGTCTTATTTAAATCTCTCTGCTCTCACTTTGAAAATATGCCCTCTAGTCTTGAAATTCCCCCACCCTAGGGACAGGAAACCTACTACTAGCACTATCTATACCACTCATGATTCATGATCCAGAGACAGCAAGAACTGCTGATGCTGGAGTCAGAGATAACACAGTGTAGAGCTGGAGGAACACAGCAGGCCGGGCAGCATCACAGGAGCAGGAAAGCTGATGTTTCGGGTCGGGACCCTTCTTCAGAAATGGGGAGGGGGAGGGGAGCTCAAAAATAAATAGAGAGAGGAGGGTTGGGACTGGGGAAGGTAGGTGGGATGCTGAGTGAGTGCAGGTAGGGAGTGGTGGGGATTGGTCAGTGAGGTGGGAGGAGTGGATAGGTGGGAGAGAAGATGGACAGGTTGTGTCAGGTCAATGAGGCGGGGATGAGATAGAGGGTTGGTCATTGGATGAGGCCGGGGGTGGGGAGACTTTAAGACTGTTGAATTCCATGTTTAGGCCATTGGGCTGTAGGCTCCTGAGGCAGAATATGAGGTGCTGCTCCTCCAGTTTGCAGGTGGCATCACTGTGACACTGGAGGAGGCCCAGGATGGACATGTTACCCAGGGAGTGGGAGGGGGAGTTAAAATGTTTCACGGCTGGGAGGTGTTGTCAGTTGTCGCGAACAGAATACAGATGCTCTATAAAATACTCTCTGAGCCACCGCTTGGTCTCACCGATGTAGAGGAGGCCACATTGGGAGTAGCAGATGCAGTAGACCATGTTGACGGATGTGCAGGTGAACCCTGCACTCACCTATCACCATCCCACCTACCTTGCCAAGCCCCACTCCTCCTCTATTTAATTTAGAGCTCCCCACCCCCTCCCCATTTCTGAGGAAGGGTCCCGACCCGAAACGTCAGCTTTCCTGCTCCTCTGATGCTGCCTGGCCTGCTGTGTTCCTCCAGCTCCAGACTGTGCTATCCCAGCCTATCCAGCCTGTCTTTATAATGCAAACCCACTATACCCGGCAACATCTTGGTAAATCTCTTGTGAACCATCTCTAGCTTAATAATATCCTTCCTATAACAGGGTGACCAGAACCTACTGGTCAGTTATGCTACCAAGGATTCCCTTTACATTCTGACATGGTCTTTTTGTGCAGGTCGTGTAAAGACACTAGATGTATCCTTGAATTTCTCCTGCCTTCCACTGACTGGATGGGTGTTGAGGTTGTGCAGAAAATAGCTTCTATCATTTCATTGAGTTCTGAAAGAGGGTCATGTTGGATTGGAAATATTCACCCTGCTTCTCCCTCCAGAGATACTGCCAGACCTGCTGAATTTCTCCAGCAATTTGTGTCCTGCAGTTCCTGGCTTTTATTCCATTGTTGGTCGGTTTGCCAATCCTTTGGGATATAAAGAGTAATCTCTGGGACCCTGCTGTGAGCAACCTTGAAGAAGAATCATGGGGACAAGCGGGTACTGGAAAGGTAATTGTTTCTAAATTGGGTGAGGGGTGTTGCAATGTAGTTTTGCGCACACTGGGTGACCAAAGGCAGAGTTGTGGAATTGTAGGCAGGAGGTCAAGTGATGACACTTGCAGGAAAATGTCCTACCATAGGTGGTGACCTGAACGAACCAGCACTGATCTCTCAGCCCAGGGCACTCCTTTTACCTTAACTGAATCATACAGGCAGCATTGAAGTGATTGCTCATGCAAGATTTACATGTGAAGGAGAGATTGGAGAGACTTAAGCTTTTCAGCTTGAGGTTCTAAATACAATCAAAAGGGTTATTTTAAGGAACAGTGGAAGCATCAAGTAAAAGTCAAGAGTTTCTTCCCACAGTGAGCATGCGCTGGGAGTGGACTCCAGGCAGTACGGTGAAGTTGCAAACTCTGGAATTCTTCATGAAACAATGCAATTTGGGGAATATGAGGAGGAATTTCTTCAGCCAGAGGATGGTGACTCTGCAGAACTCATTGCTGCAAAAGGCTGTGGAGGCCAAGTCATTGAGTGTATTTAAGACAGAGATAAATGGATTCTTGATTGGTAAGGGGATCAAGGGTTATTGGGGGGTAAGGCAGGAGAATGGGTTCGAGAAACATATCAGCCACAATCAAATAATGCAGACTTGATATTCCGAACGGCCTAATGTTGGTCCAATATCATTTGGTCTTGTGGGGATTTTAGGGTTGTTCTGAATGGATACATTAAGATGGTCCAAATGATGCTGTCATCATCCAGGAGTATCTCATGACGTGTGACCATTCCACTATTGCTGAGTCACTCAAATATAAAAGTAACTAGTTAGACACAACAGAAGCCATCATATTATCATTTCATGACTTAAGCATAAATATCAAAAGAGACTGTTAGCCCATTCCATCTCTCCTTTCTTAGCGATAATAGACTCTCTGCTACAAAGTGACTATTACTGAGCTTTTTCATTTTAACTCATTGATCCATACCCACTACATTGGTGGCCAGCTGTTCACAGTACCTCATTGTATTCCCAGTGCCAGACATCAAACGTTGGCTTCTTCAGTGCTTCGATAGTCTCCTGAGAGAGTGTGTACTGTCAAAACAGTAAACATATTTCTCATTTGGAAAAGCAATAAAAACAAAATACGGTCAGTAATCAATTCCTGTCACAAGATATGCAGCAAGCCCTGTGGGTAATGTATTGGCTCGTCATGGTGAAGGGAATACACAACTGGGAAATAGAATGGTTTCCGCTGTTCATTTGTTCTATCTCCACCAAGGAAAACAAACTAGATTCTAGCCTTGTGCACATTATATCACTCCCTTCTCTCTTTCAGTTCCTCAGCTGGCTAGTGTCCTAGCTCTGGAAATCCCTAGTCAAGAAGTTGTCATGCCTCTGTCTCTCTCTCTCTCCTCTTCTAACACAGTCCCTAAAATTCTTCTGCTTAGCCTAATATCTCAGTATATAGCTCAGTGCCAAATATTACTCGAACTCCTGTGAAACACCAGAGGACATTAGGTTATAGCTACTATATAAAAGTAAGTTGTGTACTCAGGGGAAGAGGTTATAGTGCAGAAAGAGGTTTTAGAGATAGAGATAGACAAAGTCTAGGAGGGATTTGAAATGGAGGATGAATGTTTTAAAATTGACACATAAACAGAAGTCAATGTAGAATAAAAAGTAGAGTTGATGAATGAAAGGGATTTAGTGCAAGTTAGTTTTGTACAGTTTTGGATGAGCTTGGAATATGGTGTTGTGGGGTGGAGGATGTTAAATTTGATTAGGTTATAGCTAATTTGTAAAAACTACCACTTCAGGTAAAAGAGATAACAAGGTGTAGAGCTGGATGAACACAGCAGGCCAAGCAGCATCAGAGGAGCAGGGAAGCTGACGTTTTGGGCCTAGACCCTTCTTCAGAAATGGGCGAGGGGAAGGGGGATCTGAAATAAATAGGGAGAGAGAGGGAGGCGGATAGAAGATGGATAAAGGAGAAGATAGGTGGAGAGGAAACAGACAAGTCAAAGAGGCGGGGTTGGAGCCAGTAAAGGTGAGTGTAGGTGGGGAGTTAGGGAAGGGATAGGTCAGTTCAGGGAGGACAGACAGGTCAAGGGGGCGGGATGAGGCTAGTAGGTAGGAGGAGGGGATAAGTGGGAGGAAGGACAGGTTAGGGAGGCAGGGACAAGCTGGGCTGGTTTTGGGATGCGGTCAGCGGAGGGGAGATTTTGAAGCTTGTGAAGTCCACATTGATACCATTGGGCTGCAGGGTTCCCAAGCGAAGTATGAGGTGCTGTTCCCTGAAATCTTTGGGTGGCATTGATGTGGCACTGCAGGAGGCCCAGGATGGACGTGTCATCTGAGGAATGGGAGGGGGAGTTGAAATGGTCAGGTAAAAAGCTCCTTTTCTGTGTGACTTGATGTGCAGTCCAGCTGCCACAAGATGGCGCATCAAAGTAGTCTTTCAGCTTCCACTGTGAAACTCCCAAGGAAGCATCCTCATCCCAGTCTCATAACAGGGAGGGAGGTGGCTGGACGTGGAATTTTGCCCCATTGGCTGGCATGACATATCTGGAGGCCAGATCGTGCCAGCAGCCAGTGAACAACATTCAAGACAAATAATAAATAGGCATAATATAAATAAATAAAGATAAAGGCCAATTATCAGAGTCTGACCGCACTATCACATGGCCTCCATTGACCTGCCTACATCAGGCTGCTCTTTGTAGAGGGTTACCCTCTATAGCACTGGCCCATTAGTTGAGGCGACATTTTATTTTTCATTTTTTGAAGCTGCTGAGAGGATACTTCCAGCTGGAGGCGCCCTCTGTCTCTCTCTCCCTCTGTTGCTCTCTCCCTCTATTACCTGCAATGAGCCAGAAGGGTCAAAGGCAAGGGCCAGGTAAGATTTTCGCTCCCACTGTTTGACCCTGCCCATGCTCCCAGTAGCCCACAGATTGGAGCAATAGAGTTCCCTGCCCTAAAGCCAGCTGGCAGGGTGCCCTGGATTCCCTGTCGGGAAAGCAGCCACTGTTCTTAGTTCCCAGAAAAGTAAGTGAATAGTGAAGAAGGTTATCTCAGAGTACAACTGGACACTGATCAGATGAGCCAAGGAGTGGCAGATGGAATTTAAATTAAATAAATGTGAGGTGTTGCATTTTGGAAAGGCAAATCAGGGCAGGACTTATACAGTTAATGGTAGGATCCTGGGGAGTGTAGCCAAACAAAGAGACCTTGGAGTTCAGGCTCATAGTTCCTTCAAAGTGGAGTCCCAGGTGCTGGTGAAGAAGGCATTTGGTACACTTGCCTTTATTGGTCAGTGTACTACGTATAGGAGTTGGGAGGTCATGTTGCGGCTGTACAGGTCATTGGTTACTTTTGGAATACTGCGTTCAGTTCTGGTCTCCTTGCTATAGGAAAGACATTGTTAAACTTGAACGGGTTCAGAAAATATCTACAAGAAGGTTGCTGAGATTGGAGGGTTTGAGCTACAGGAAGAGGCTGAATAGGCTGGGGCTATTTTTTGTGGAGCGTCGGAGGCTGAGGGGTGACCTTATAGAGGTTTATAAAATCATGAGGGGCATGGATAAGGTAAATAGACAAGGTCTTTTCCCTGGAATGGGGGAGTGCAAAACTTAGAGGTCATAGGTTTAAGGTGAGTGGAGAAAGATTTAAAAGGGACCTAAGGGGCAACTTTTTCACACAGAGGGTGGTGCGTGTATGGAATGTGCGGCCAGAAGTGGTGGAGGCTGGTACAATTACAACATTTGAAAGGCACCTGGATGGGTGTGTGAATACGAAGGATTTAGAGGGATATGGGCCAAATGCTGGCAAATGGATTTAGATTAATTTAGGATATCTGGTTGGCATGGACGAGTTGGACCAAAGGGTCTGTTTCCATGATGTATATCTCTATGTCTCTATGTTATCAGGCGCGTGGTTGGGTTGAGGTCCTTAAGCCTCATGAAGTGACCACTTAAGGAGTTTAACCTATTTTTCCCTTATCACGTCTGTTGCATCTGGGATTGAACCCGGGTCTCTCAGTCCAGGGGCAGGGAGGTGGGAGTTGAGGAAAGTAACTGATGGACATTCCCACCCAGAACTTAACTGCTGAGGAAGCAGGAAGGAGGTAGGTATATCTCTGATGCGACTGCCTCATCATGTCTAGGGGAGGGGAAAATCCCATCACAGGGAAGGTGCTGCAGGTATGAGGGAGAAAGACAGGGGCAGCTCTCTGAAACTAATGCTGGAGTTACATTGCTGGTATCCTTCTCAACCGATGCCAATACATTGAATATGGACTGTGGGATATCATGGGAGTAGTAGCTGCATTGCCAGTGAGCTCATGACATTTTGACCACTGCAGAAATGCAAATTCATTGAGATGGTTTATCGATATTAATACTGTAAGGTTTGAATGAGTTGAAATCTCGCCTCCATACCATCAACGGAAAAACTCTTGTGGTGCAGCAGTAGTCTCCCTGCCCCTGAGCCAGGAGACTGGGGTTTGAGCTCCACCTGCTCCAGATGTGTCTTACAAGATCCCTGAACAGGTTGATTGGAACATGTCCATATCATCAATACATGATGCCAGGGAATTCTAAAGTGACTCAGGTTTCCTCCAGCCTATTACATCAACACAGTGTCAGCTTTGTAAATCTTTACAGGTGGCCAGATTTAAACCAGCGAGAATCTCTGGCTCCGAGTGAGAAAGGGACACTGACTAATAAAATCCAGGAGATTTACATTAATCTAACTGGAAAGCCAGGTTATGTAAGCCCATTCCCCAACATTGCCATAAAAGCAACTTACAAATGATAGTACGTGGTAGCTTTTATTCACACATCCCACAGACTTGAGCACATAACGTAGGCTGATTTTCAGCACAGTACTCATGAGAGTCAACAGTATTGGACTTTTTTTTTAATCAGATAATAAACCAAGGTCCTGTTTGCTCTCTCTGAAGGCACACAAGATCCTAAGGCTTTTTTTTTAAGATGAAAAGTAGGGAAATACTTTCAGTGTCCTGGCCAACATTTGTTCCTCTGCCAATACCAAAAACTAATTGTCTGGTGATTAATTACATGGCTGTTTGTGCACAAATTGTCATTACCTAGCAGCAATGACTACACTTTGAGACTTAATTTCCATTACACTATGCTGAAGACACACAACAATGTAAGTACTAGGCAGGTTTGATGAGGATACAGTAATCACCGCTGCACATGTGACACTGATATGCTGTTTTACAAGATACCACTTGGCAGGTTAGTAGCAAAATTAGAGTCTTGGAGTTTTTAACAGCATGAAATGAGGCCCTTCGGCCCAATGTGTCCACGCTCGTCCTCAAACCTCCATTTATTTCAGTCCCATTTTTCAGCACTTAGCCTGTAGCCGAGTCCATGGAAATTCAAGGACAGAGGCAGTGTGGATACATAGTTAGCAAGGGACAGAAGGCAACATGTGCTGTGGTGTTTCCCAGGAGTCAAAGTTGAGACTCTACTCCCTTGGATACTTATGTATGACTTTTGGAGTTGGGTAAACAGGTGCCATTTCAAAGCTTACAAATGTTACAAAATTTGGAAATAAGTAAACAATAGAACGGATCATCAAAGACTTTAGGAAAACACAGATGGATGGGTGAAATGAACAGATACATGGCAAATTAAATTCTGCATTGGTTGGGTTGGCAACACAGATTAACATCTGTCTTCCGCCAAAATGTTTTTGTTGTTAACAATTTGACAAATAAGCTTTTTTTTTGTAATGTTGATTGAGGGATAAACATTGGTCAGGACACCAGCAATAACCCTTCCGCTGTTCCTCAAAATAGTGCATAGGATCTTTTACATCCACCTGAACAGCTAGAGGAGGGTTCCTTCATTTTTAGAATTTATAGGTTTTATTGTCACATGTACTCAACTATAGTAAAAAGCATCTAACATTGTCACAGACAGCGCCATCTTAGGTACAAAAGTACCTAGGTACAAAAATCTCAGGTACAAAGTCTTATAAGAAAACAAAGTTAAAAAGGTGAGCATTACAGACCTTCATTGAATAAGTAGAGAATAAAGCAATAAGGTAACAGTTAACATTAA